AGCTTTATCTCCGTCTCTCACTCTCTGCCAGATTAAAGGTGATGTCAGGTAAAAACATCACCCACGTTAAGACGAGCTGGAATAAACTCTGGGTAATAAACTGGCTCCCTCCATCACTCGCTCCTGAACGCAGCCCTAATAAAAAGAGGATCTGTTTGTGACAGCATCATGGTGGGGCCAAATTCTCGGAGCCTGAAAGACCACCCCCTGTTCATAAGCATCAGCCTATTCGTTTAATATTATTTGACAGGAGTGATGAACTGCTCTCCTGACGACGGAGGGCTCCGAAGAAAGAACATTTTTATGAGACGCTGTGCCAGCTTCCCGTTCTCACTGCCTTCCCCAAACACACACCAAAATATCCCCAACGGAAAAAATCATCGATTCCAGCAAAAATGCCTTTTCTTGATGGCCAACACAAACAAAGGAACGCATAAAAACCCCGCTGAGCGATCGTTATTGACACGTCTAAAAATAGCACCTTCCCTTTTATTCTCGTTATTTATTTATTTCGCTGCAGACTCTCTCTCTCACTCCCTCTCTCTCCCTCTCCTCGCTCGCCCCCTCTCTCTTTACCCTCTCTCTCCCTCCTTCTCTCTCTCCTCTCTCTCGCTTTCTTTTCCCTCTCACTCTTCCTCTCTCTGCCCTCTTTTTCTCTTTCTCACCCTCTTTCTTTCTCTCCTTTCCCTCTTTCTTTCTTGTTCTCCCTCTCTCTTTCTCTTCTCTTTCACCCTCTTATTCTCCTTTTCTTTTATTCCTCTTTCTCTCTCCCTCTTTTTCCTTCTCACTCTTTCTCTTTCTCTCTCTCTCTCTTTACCCTCTTTCTCTCCCTCCTTTCTTTCTGTCTCTCTCCTCTCTCTCGCTTTCTTTTCCCTCTCACTCTTTCTCTTTCTGCCTTCTTTTTCTCTTTCTCACCCTCTTTCTTTCTCTCCTTTCCCTCTTTCTTTCTCGTTCTCCCTCTCTCTTTCTCTTCTTTCACCCTCTTGTTCTCCTTCTCTTTTATTCCTTTTTTTCTCTCTCCCTCTTTTTCCTTCTCACTCTCTTTCTCTCTCTCTCTCTCTCTCTCACCCTCATTCCTTCTCTCCTTTTTCTCTATAATTCTCTCTTTCTTTCTCCTTCTCCCTCTCTCTCTCGCCCTTTTCTCCTTCTTTTTATCCCTCTCTCTTTCACTCATTCTCTCTCCTTTCTTTCTGTCCCTCTCTGCACTTTCTCTCTCGCTCTCTCTTTCTGCCTCTCTCTCTCACCCTTTTTCTTTCTCTCCTTTCTCTCTCTCTCTCTTTGTTTCTCCTTTTCCCTCTTTCTTTCTGTTCTCTCTCACCCTCTTTTTCTACTTCTCTTTTATCCCTCTTTCTATCTCTCCCTTTCTCCTTCTCCCTCTTTCTCTTTCTCCCTCTCTTTTTCTCTCTCCCTCTTTTTCTCTCTCTCTTCATCTTTCTTTCTCTTCTTTCTCTCTCTTTCCTCCTCCTTCCCCATCTCTTTCTTTTCTCTCTCACCCTTTTTTTCTACTTCTCTTTTATCCCTCTTTCTCTCTCCCTCTTTCTCTCTTGTCTCTTTTTCTCTCTCTCTCCCTTTTTCTTTCTCCCCACCCCTCTCTCTCTTTTCCTCCCTCTCTCCCTTCTTCCCTCTTTCTTCCCCTTTCTCTCCTTCTGTCGCTTTTTGTCTCTCCCTCTCTCCTCCTCCCTCTCTCTCTTCCTCCTTCTCTCTCCCTCTTTCTCTCCTTCTCTCTCTCTCTCTCTCTCTCTCTCTCTCTCTCTCTCTCTCTCTCTCTCTCCTCAGTCTCTGTTCTTACACAGCTCCTGACACACACACATTTCCAAAATTTAGCATTCAGTTGCCTAGCAACGCTGGCCTCAAAGGGTGCTCGCCTGAAGACGGGGGCTGCCGTCTCCTTCTTTTTTAAGGAACAGCGAAAGAGAGGGAGGAAGCGTAAGAGGGAGAGAAAAAAAGGGCAGGGGAAATAAAGACAGAAAAAAGCAGAAGAGGATCAGCCTCTTCCTCTCGTCTCATCCAGACCGGATTCCTCGACGGCGGAGCAGCTCGTCTGAGCACGGGCTGATTGCATAATCAGCGGCGCTCGTGTCCAGCAGGGGGTGAAAAGGAAAGAGGCTGCGGTCTCATTTCGTATGTGCAGAGGGGCGCGGGCGATAGCCGCCAGCTAAAAACGCTCATTTGATGAGCTTCACTAGTCTCTTTTGGTCAGGCTGCAAATTGACCTCCTGGGCGAGTAATCTCTGTGGAGGAGCTGAATTACAGAGTGAGAGACAGTGTGGACTGTCATCTACTCTGTGCTCAGGGGTGCAATATCACTGCAGTCTGATCACTGTATGAATTAGAGATCCAATAACTCACTCAGTTAAAGGCCCTGCTTGACTCTGTTAAGCTAACTGGAAGATGGCATGGAAGGCTGTGTTTGACTCATCTGCCAATCAGCAGTCTGTGAGCAGCGTACACTACAAGTACACACTGTTCCAGACCTTTTTCTCTCGCATACCACTGTGACAGAATAAAAGTCTTATTAACAATCACTAATACTAGGGGTTAGCATTATGGCTATATTCACCGGTACTCGATAAATTACATCACAATATGCTTTTCTAAGCGTATCGTGGACATCATGTACTTTACCTCTTTCTGCACGCCCCCTAGCGGCCATTCTGCTGGTGTCGTGGATATTTTTTAATTTATATAATAAAATAAAATGTCTTCCCCCATGTTTGTGCTATCAGATGAACTAGGACACTGTTGGCTCTTTGTGACTCTGTGTTGAGCTGCTAGTGAGCTATGAGGGGAGAGAGGGGAGGGGTGAGAACCTCCTGCTGTGAGTTCATTCTAGACATCAAATTATCGAGAACAGCATTCAAAATAGCATCTAAACACAACAAACACGACTTGCTCGCTCAGCTTTGAAGAAAAAAATCAAATTTGCTTCCAGGTTTGTACATCATACACATTTCCATCAAAATATATTCCATCAATGTCATTGAAGGGAAAAAAAACATAGTTCAAGTGAGGGACCAAAACAGGTATACAGAAATAAATAAACTCAATAAAAATAATTCAGAAAATGAAATATTGTTATATGTATCTCATATCGTGGTATTATATTTTTATGTCAGCTGTGCCAAACTAATTCCAAAACATTGGTCAAACTACACTTATCCAATTTACAATGTATTCAAATAATAATGGATAATGTCCGTTTTGTACAATGCATCTCAATGATATCACAATGTCACAATGTATTGTTACATCCCTACTAATAATAATCTATAAAACTTTTTGGGTTCTGCTCAAAATGAGCTAAAATTGTCTCTACTGAAACAGTCACTACTGAAACAGTCACTACTGAAACATTTGGCAAATAGAGGCAGAACATAATGAAGGTACAGAGTCACTCAAAGCAAAAAGATTTTAGTCTGAAGTCCAAGTCAGTTAAAAGTTCAAAATGGGTTTTGAACTCAGTGAAGCAATTCAACAGAAAGATTCATATAAACGGTAAAACATGCCGACACTGTTGCTCTCACTGGTGATGAAAATTGGAAGCTCGGTTCACATGATTTTTATGTTCACATGCCTTCACATCATAAAGAAATAATGTTACTGAATTACTGAAAGTTATACATCCATTCCGATGACGCTTATTGTATAGCTATAACACAAGGCTTTGCTTTTAAATGGAAAAAAAAAAAAATCTTTAGGGCACATATACTGTCAGAAATAAAGGTTCTGTGCAGGTACATTTTTCATTCATCATGGTAGAAACAATGTAAATTTACCTTCAAAGGTACAATAATGGTTTTAACATCGAACTGAGCACTTTAAATACGTTTTTCTCAGGGAAAATTTGTATTGTATTTGTATATATTTGTAAATAAGCTAATGTTTTAAAACAGAATAATAGAATAAACTTTCACTGGAATATAGTACAATTATGTTCCCTGACTAAAGGTGCTGAGATGTACCCTTGAGACAACAACCACAGTGACAAGAGGGGTACCACCCCAGTGACAGCTGAGTACCTCTTTTTGGAGAGTGTAAGACAAATACGATGAATCGCGATTAACTGCACTAAACCTCTACATTTACCGAACCTACTTTCTGACTTCTTCACTCTCTGTATGTCCTCTTGGCCTCTACACTTTCAGAAAAAAGGTAGTAAACTGTCACTGGGGCAGTCCCCTCTTGTCATGGGGGTGGGACCCTCAAAGGTACATCTCATGACCCTTTAGTCAGGGAACATAATTGTTCCATAATCCACTGAAATGGTATTTTCTAAGTTGTACTGACTCCACACACCCCGTCTCGTCTCCAGGCTTTTTATTTTACTGTTCTATTTTAAAACATTTGGTTATAAAAAGGTACAAATCTGTACTTTTCACCTGGAAAAACGTATTTAAGGTTCACAACTGGACCCTAAAACCACTGTTGTACCTTTGAGGGAACATTTACATTGTTTGTACCTTGATGAATGAAAAACATAACTGCACAGAACCTTTATTTCTAACAGTGTACGCAACTAAAAAACTAAAAAATAATGATCACTGCCGGTTGTGGCTGTGTTTTTTAATTCAGTTTATATATGTTGAAGCCTCGTGGCACCTCTAAGGAGCGTACCTGCTTTGTTCTATCCCTCTGTCGCCTCCTTCATCCCTCACTCTGTTTACTTTATCTTTCTCTCTCCCTCGTCTCTTCTGCTGCACATGTCTGGCGAGCGCCTACAGCCACTCTACAGAGTTTTCTCTTGTACAAAGGCCAAGTTTACTTCACTGAGCTTATAAGTTTGAAGAGTCCGTGTGACTACTGTTTGCCTCCTAATTTACTGCCATAATCCAAAACACACACACACACACACAGAGCGAACACTCCAACCAGCAGCACTCAGACAGAAGCCAAGACAGACGATGTGCCTTTTTTTGTGCGGTTTCTCTTCTCAGGCTTGACTTTCACAGTGGGATAAAAATGATACGGCTGTGATGCAGCAGCGCAGGCGTTTCTCTCACCTGCTCGAGGCGGCTCTATAGTGTGGTTCTCGATTCCATCCTGCATCAGCTTACGTCTGGACCAGTCAGGGCTAACATCTTCAGCCGGGTCTGTCCCTGAAGGCTCTGTTTCTGTGAGAGGAGCGAGAGAGAAGAGACTCAATCTGCAGTCGTGTGCAAAAGTTTGAGAACAAACATAAATATGACATTTTCCTGCACATTTTAGCGACACTTTCAATTTCTTTATCATAAAAAATAAGACATAAAATATAAAATGTACTATAACATTTTCACAAGGCACATTTTGTGTTGAGATTTTAGAAGTGTGCTCTCTGCTGAGGATGTGCATTATTTTTACTTTGAAAAAAATCAACAATACATTTAATACATGATTTGACTGGGGTACCCAAACTTTTGCATATGGCTGTGTATGAGAGCATTCATGAATGGATAAAGAAGCAAATAACTACAGAAGTGCTAATACACGAATACGAAGGTCAAATTAACCCTTGACATTTCAGTTATTATGTATGATTTTATACTTTTTAGGTTACACATTTAATAAGACATGTAATAAAATAATAATTACACTATTACATTTACTTTCAATTTACATTCTTCATCAATTGGTTAAAGTTTCAGACTTTCAGACTTTTCCATCTGTTTCAGTATCAAGAAATTATACAAATTGGGGAAAAATGGTATTTATGGAAGTTCAGTTATTGCATTTGGTTTTCTATACTACTCAAATATAATGTAATTAAATATCAATTACACAATTATGTTTTCAGCCTGTTTATATTCTTTATCAACAAGTTTGAGTTTCTACCACTGACATTCTTGGAAGATCATTTATTACATTTGGTTTTACATGTTATTCAAATTTAACTGTGTAATTAAACATATAATTAAATAATAACTACACAATGGCATTAAATTCAATTTACTTTCTTTATCGATCGGATCAAGTCTCAACACTTCCATCTGTTTCAATATGAAGAAATTACAAAAATGGGGAGAAGAATTGTTTTTATGGAAGTTCAGTTATTACTTTTGGTTTATGTACTATTTAAATAAAATGTAATTACATATCTATTACACAATTATGTTTTCATTCTATTTACATTCTTTATCAACTGGTTTGAGTCTCTGCTGCTTGGAAGATCAGTTATTACATTTGGTTTTACAAGCTATTCAAATGTAATTGTGTAATTACGCATGTAATTACATACATATTTAAATTATGACAACACAATTGCATTTACATTCAATTTACATTCTTTATCGATCTTTATCGAAGTCTGCACTTCCAACTTTCTGACTTTTACATCTTTTTCAATATCAAGAAATTATACAAATGAGGGGAAAATGGTATTTATGGAAGATTGGTTATTACATTTGGTTTTACATACTACTCAAATATAATGTAATTACAAAACAATTACACAATTATGTTTACATTCTGTTTACATTCTGTTTGCATTCTTTATCAACAGGTTTGAGTCTCTAACACCAACATTCTTGTAAGATCAGTTCTTACATTTGGTTTTTCATTTTTGGATAGTGTTCAAATGTAATTGTGTAATTACACATGTATGTTTCAATATCAAGATATTACACAAATGGGGGAAGAATAGTATTTATGAAAGTTCAGTTATTGTATTTGGTTTCATATACTACTCAAATATAATGTAATTATGTAACTAACACTTTACATTCTTCTTTACACTTTACAAAAATTATATTTACATTCTGTTAACATTTTTTATCAACAGATTCGAGTCTCTACTGCTGGCATTCTTGGAAGATCAGTTATTACATTTGGTTTTACATACTATTCAAATGTAAGTCTGTAATTACACATGTAATTACATATATAATTACATAATAATAAGTACACAGTGGCATTTACATTCAATTTGCATTCCTTATTGACAGGTTTGAGTCTACATGCCTGACTTCCTGACTTGATGTTTTAATCTCAAGAAAGGACAAACATGGCAAAAAAAAATATTAAGAATGGCATTTGCTTCCCCAAAATTAAACACAACAATAACTTATTCAATTCAGATCATTATAAAATATCTTACAAGCACAAATTTGGTATAGATTTACAGTGTAGAATCTGCAGTTTCAACAGTCTCTGTTTTTAATGAGCTACGAGTGAGAAATGATACTAAATCTAATTACACCATGGTTTTGTTATCACTGGTGATAACTGTGATTCCTAAAAGTGAACAAGTATACAAGAACACTAAGAAAACCCAACATGTTTTAGCTCTTGTGGGTGCTATAAACTACTATGAGGCTTAATAATCAGGCCCTGTTATCCTGAAACAAAGAAGAGACAAGCATTTGAACAGGATTCACACATTACATTATGAAACCGTTCACACTGTACTCACAGCACAGATGCATCTTTTATTTTGCTGTGTGAAAAATGTGCATCCATCTGCTTGAAAAAGCTTTTGACTGCGAGTAGTATTTCCATCTATGCTCTGACTAATTTGACTCATCAAGTCAAGAGGAATAAAAAGCACAAGGCAAATATTGTAGCTTCGTAGTGGGCGTGAGTCACTTATATTCTGTCCCTGGCTGATTCACTCTGGCACTTTGAATCACTGTGCCATGTATTATGACAGTAAGTCCCGGTTTGCTTTGGACACAAATCAATGAGTAATCACACGGTAATATCAAGTAATTACCGTTAAACATTATGACACGTTAAATCGATAGGTAATTTCTCCAGGGTAGATTTATTTGTTTAAATGACTATGACCTTGGAACTGAGCAATGGATAGATTATAAACAACTAAATATAGCTAACTTGGTGCTGCAAGAAATGGTGGCATATTAGGTTGCACGCATTTTCCTAGCTGTCAAAAAGCGCAGCTTTTTTGGACGGGGATTTGTGTTTCAGTGGCATGTGTTTTGAAACTGAGCTCAGGCTTAAGCAAACAGGCTTAAATATGCATTCATCAAGGTAATGAGCAGATGTTGCCCGTCTGGAGCAGGGATGACCAGCCAGGCCTAATTTTGTTTCTTTCCCAGTTGTCAGTATACCTGAACAAGGAAGTCTGCGTTCTACAAATGTCAGTTACCTGGATTAAGAGTGCAGAAATCCATGGGAACTGGCTGGTGGTGCTTCACAGGGCTGTCAGATGTGAAATCAAATTCAAATTTTCCTTTGTTTTTTGTCTAATTTTCAATTAGAGGTGGGCAATATGGCAAAAATATAACTTCAAGAAATTTTCACGATACATGATATGTCACTATATTTATTTTTTAGACATCTGATCAGCTGGAACTGAGAAAAAGAGCATGTAGTGCTACATTTTGGCATGTGTTGCACTAAATGCAGTTAAATTGGACTAAATTTGATGTCTTTAGAATGAAACTAGTCCTGCATTTGGTCAGTTTACTACAAATACTGACCTTATCCACAATATGTTCAGAAAAGCATATTGTACTGTGACATTTTTTATCATGATAACCATACATATTGTCATATTGCTCAGCCCTATATTCAGATATATTCGTACACATTTTCTAAACTACTTATTCTTCTGGGTTGCGGGGCCGGTGGGTTGGGGGTGCTGGAGCCTATCCCAGCAAACATTGGGCAGAAGGCAGGACACGCCCTGGACATGTCGCCAGCTCATCGCAGGGCAGACATATACGTATACACTCATATCTAGAGACAATTTAGCATGCCCAGCCTGACTGCATGTCTTTGGACTGTGCAAAGGGTACAGTTTGTTCTTTTATCCGTATCTGTTTAATGATCATTAGGTGGCTGTTCTTTTTTGCTTTTGTGCTTTTTTTCCCTTTTACAGTCCCATCGATTCATCTGAGGGGCAGAGGGACACGGCGGTGGTCGCTCTTGGCCAAGAACTTTGTAACTTTGGACTGTGCAAACACACGGGGTGAACATGCAAAATCCGCACAGAAAGGACCCTGGTTGCCCAGCCGGGGAACCGAACCCAGGCCCTTCTTGCTGTGAGGCAACAGCGCTACCCACTGCACCTGCTTAGGCCCAGAAGAAAAATTTTCACTGACTGACTGACTGACTGACTGACTGACTGACTGACTGACTGACTGACTGACTGACTGACTGACTGACTGAAAGAAAGAAAGAAAGAAAGAAAGAAAGAAAACTGGCCAAAACCAGGCTTGTACAGTCTTGTTTTGCGAAGAAAATAAGCAGCATACATAACTGCAGTACACGCCAGATTTCCAAATAAATGTCTCCTAAATCTCCTAAATCCACCAGGGGACGCTCAGAATAACAAACATTGTTAAAATCAACTGAAAAGTCCAAAATTTAAACCAGTGATTCTCAGCCTGGGGGTTAATGGTTGTCGAAAAGGACATCTTTGAGAATGACGTCCTTAAAATCCCCACACCAGCCACAGCTTGTTATCATTATCAGCTAAAGACAGTGGCTGTGAGGTTTATAAGAAAGAGTCTGTAACTGTGATAGCTGTTATAAAAGATGAATAAATCTGAGCTATAAAAGATCCACATACGCTACACTGGTTTGTCAGAAAAAGTGTAAAGCAGATCATTTGGTTACCTCACACAAGAATGCATTTCTGTCCATTAATGTCCTGTTATTTTCATACAACTCTAAATAAAGCCAGAATCAATCATTGTATATTTATGGTCAGTAATGGTATTTACTTTGGTCTGTTCAGTAGCGGTCATGTCTGATAATGTTGCTAACAAACCAGCATGGAATTACGAGGTAGCTTTAAATATTCAGATGGGCTTGTTTTATGTTCAAATGTGCATTGTTTACATTGCACTTAACAAACACTGAAGGGCTGAATTTTATTCAGTGTTTTAGGATTGGACAGGCAATCTTGAATAGAGATGTAGCGGGGCTCCCGTGTGGGGCAACCACTCGGTGGCCTCACTGTCTAGAGTTTGATCCCCGATGATGCCACAGCCATCCATAAGCAGGAGCCCACAGCATAACTGGTCTCACTCTCTCTGGGTGGACAGGACCAAATCATCGGATAACTCTAAGGAAGACGCTAACTGCTAGTTGCGTTACATCAGCTAACAGATGCCTGTCAGCTGACGTAACATAATTAGCAGTTAGCGTTCTGCTCCCTCCATTACTCAAT